TAATTATCGATGCACAAGAAACGTCACCCAAATCGAAGGTCGTAATTTTTAAGTGAAGAAATATGTCTCTTGTTACCATAGAGTAGTGAAGTATTTATAGTAAAAATTTCGTATTTATAGTAAAAATTTCGTATTTATAGTAAAAAGTACAAAGATAATTCAGAAATTAGCCAATTTAAAGTGAATAACACACTCCGCGAAATTAACAGATCCATAGGGAATGAAACCTGTCTTGCAAAATGACATCTTTTACGTTTTAGTTTTCTCGTGTAGCAATGAATCAACATTTCAAATCGCCAAAAATGCACATTTTTAATCTGATTAAATTTCCTTAAATCATTAGTAAATAGTAGAGGTTATTTATTGAATCCTACATTGTTATGGAGACTTGTGTTATTGTAAATAATATTAACCTTGCAAAAGCATTCTATTTATGTAAAATATGCGAAAATTTATGATAAATTAAAATTGTTTTTAATTGATGCTCATACGTTTTAACTAGTATATTTCATAGTGCTTCTATTAAAAATGCATCAACTAACAAGCTCTATAAATTATCATTCTTACGATTCCTATTTGCCGTAGGTACCACTTGGATGTATCGCAGCCAAGAGTGCAGAGTTGACACGTTTGAAAAATGACCAATAATGGCGTTGAAATAATGGTGTTCCGACCATCGTATGCCGAACTTAGGAACTTCAGTGAATATGTCAAATACATGGAGAGTTGTGGTGCCCATCATGGAGGGATCGCAAAAATTATCCCTCCGCGAGAATGGAAACCAAGGAAAAAGGGTTACGGCATTAGTAACATGCACTTGAAATTGCAGAATCCCATTCAACAATATGTTACAGGAAGAGCAGGTGTATACAAGTTATTTCATGTTAGCCAAAAACCAGTGTCAGTTACAGATTACAGTGAAATGGCGAAGAGTGCAAAATATAAGCCCCCTAAAAGAGATTTAACACAAGCTTTTTGGAAAAACATTAGGTATGCTCCTCCCATTTACGGTGCCGATATGCCGGGTAGTCTCTTCGATGATGAGACCTGGAATTTTCAGAAACTCGGAACAATTTTAGATTGTATTGAAGAAGACGTTGGTGTTACGATCGCTGGAGTGAACACCCCATTTTTGTATTTTGGAATGTGGAAATCACTGTTCGGTTGGCATATTGAGGACTATAGTCTCTACAGTATTAATTACCTTCACTTCGGCTCGCCCAAGACGTGGTACTCGATACCGCCGAAACATGGTCGGAGATTCGAAACCGTTGCTAGCAGTTTATTCCCCGTGGATGCTAAAGAGTGTCCTGCGTTCTTAACGCATAAGTCGCACCTGATTTCACCTTCTGTTTTGCGTAACTACGCTATTCCGTGTGGCGAAGTTGTGCAAAACAAAGGGGAAATAATTGTTACTTTCCCTTTCGGTTATCACGCCGGGTTTAATCAAGGATTCAATTGTGCTGAGTCCATCAATTTTGCATCGCGGAGATGGATCGACTATGGGAAGTGGGCTAATTGTTGTTCCTGCAGAAAAGACACTGTGAGAATAGAGATGGATATCTTTGTCAAAA